TCTTAAATGAGTATTTTTCATTGAGGGAGGCAGGATGGTTTTGTATTTGTCTCCAGCGTGTTACAGAGACTGAAGCAGAGCAGGAATATGCCTCAGCCAAGCAGTGTGCAGATCTGGCCTTGATTTTGGGGCTGCATTGCTTTAAGGCATGTGGTTCTGTATCTTTTAGATTTCAGGAAGATGTTTTTTAAAGCCTTTGGCTTTGGAACCACAGAGATGTGAAAGCATCCACCCACACACCCATGCTGGCTCCAAGATGAACTGGGCCCAACCCAAAGGGAGCAGGCACATCTGCGTGCACAAGATGCTGTTCCGAAGAGGGTTGTGATGTCACCTCCTAAACCTGGAAAGAACAGTAGTTAGGAGAGCACTGTCATTTTTGGAATGTCACTTGGTATCATGCTTGCCTGGCATTTGGGCTGTACTGTGTCTGACATCATGCAAACTCTCGAGCTTTTCCCATGATAAGACCATTGCCTGGCTCCTCTCTGATGTATATTGTTTAATCTTTCGGTTTAGCCCATGCTGAAGCCTTTGCGTCAGTGGGAACACTAAGTCAAGTCTTTTTTCTGCTGTCCACTCTCTGCTTCTTTTGAATCATTTCCCTAGTGATACATTTGATGGCACTTGGTCCCTGGGGCCTCAGACCATTGCACAGCTTCATCTTCCTTGTTTCTCTTCTCAAACAACCCCACACAGGACCATGGGACTGGCACTAAGATGGGTCTGTTTCTCGTAGTATTATTGGAACTCTTGGTCAATCTCTGTCCTCATAGAGCACCAAAGCCTTAAGCTCTGTGGACTAGCCGGTTGTGACTATTACGTGTGCCTTGATCAAGGAAGCTATTACTGCTTAGTCTATCACTTCCAAAGTTACCCCAATACAATTAAGATATCTCAAATGTTTTCTTGTCATTGGGCCTATTGGGTCTCCTGCTGTGATGTGGACAGCAGTCACTTTCCAAGGTGCCATCATGACAAACGCGCTGTGCCTTGTGAGGGGGAGGGATGGATGTGCAAAGAGTACTCATCTCTGCTTGGAAGGAATTTAATTCACTGATAAAATCCTTCCAGATTCATGGGCTCCTCTGATTGCAAAAATGTTTAAACCCATATCATCCACATAGAAGTACCAGAGACTTTATAACAACTATGAGGATTTCTGGTCAACTTTTGAGTCTGCGCAGCTCTGTAAGAACCAGAGTGGAATGAATTAGCATGAGGACAACTGCGCAGTTATAAATTGCTGCAATTTCAGCAACCGTGTTGTTCTTTGTGGCTTTTGGTGTTGGTACAACAGCTTGCCTCTCTGCATGAAATGAATCCATTTGAAGGTATTTAATGATGAGGTTTCTTTTGCTTTATTTAATTTGTTTTTCCCTCTCCTCAGAAGGTCCTCCAAAGAGGTCTTTTTGGAAGATGGATTCATTGAAAGGAAGAGAAAATACAGATGTCTGAGCCCAGTGGACCACTCCTGGCTATTTTTGCCTCGGGCAGCCTGATCTGGAGATTGGGTAACCCTGTCCATAGCAGGGGGCTGGAGCTCAGTGATCTTTAAGATCCCTTCCAACCTAAATCATTCTGTGATCCTGTGTCCCATCCACCATCCTGTCCCACCAACTGGCCAGCTAGCTGAAGATAGGCTCTAAAAGCAGAGTTCTTCCAGCACATCTGCAGTAGGAGAGATTTTGTTGGGTATTTTTCCTATAGCTAATAAGCTGAAGTGTGAATTAGCAATTTAAAATCAGTGCTTCAGTTGACAAGTGCTGGGATAGATGCACCAGAGAAGCACCATTGTTTCCTGAGATGGATGCTCAGGGTGGGCACCCATGCATTATACTGCCAGCTATTCTCATCTTCCCTGTAGATTTTGTTTGTTTGAATATTCTTATTTAACATTTTGCTTGCTCCTCAAAGGCTTTTGCAGATCTCATGATGATTCAGATTCACTTCATTACTACTAGATATTAGTATTTGCATTGTAGTGATTTTCACTGCAGAACTGAGAACCCTGATCATGCTCTACAGGCGCAGAAAATGTGTGCAGAGCCCTCTTTCTGAAACTTCCTGTGCAGTCTGTTAGTCTGTTCTCTCCCAGAGGATTTTTTTTTTTTTAAAACATTTATTTGCAATGCAAAAGAAGATTAAAATGAAGCAAAGCACTGCACACTGGTTCTGTAACCACTTAGAAACTGGGGGTAGCATGTTTTTCAGCTGAGTCTGTTTTGTCTGAATACACAGATCATCTTATTGCTTTTGGACTTCAGAAACCTGTAATCGAGATTCAAAGGTTGACAGGGTCCCCATTTTATTTAGGCCTCCAAAAGCTGTGAGGTTCAAGTCTTAGAGAGAACAAAGTATTTCTCTCAGAGGTGTTGGCAGGCAGCAAGATCTGTGAATCCGGCATTGCTGAGACATCTCGAATTGGGCATCTGGAAAATGGAGGCTTCTGAAATCTGCTGTCAACTTTTAAAATGCTGACTATTTTTCTTCCCTCCTGCCAGCTTTGAAACTTTGAACCGAAGTTGCAGGGTTTTTTAAAAAAAATTTTTTTTTTTTACTTTTTTTATCACATGTGTCATTCCTTAGTAATGATGCTCTTGCATTAAAAATTTGGCTGACAACTTTGTGGGCAGGAGCCAAAATGAAGTTCAGTTTTGCACCCTTCTCTGATGCACACAGTGCATTTTGCATAAGTCTGAATGAAGAACTCCAGTCCCATTCATTATGGCAATTACTGTTTTCTTGCTGATGCCAACATTAAGCTTGTTTATTGTTGTAATTTAGTTGAGCAGGAACTGATGAGGTGTGTGCAGTGTGAGTGTTGAGAGTGAAAGCACCATGTAAAAACCATTTGTTCTCAGGCTATTCCTTCATCTTCAATAGTATAAAGGTAAAAAATCTCCTGGAAATTGTACAAAATTGGTGCTGCAAAAGATTTAGAGCAGTTCCAGACTGGCTTAATTGTTATTTTGTAGATGCTTGTGACCAGCACGTTAAAGTTTGCTGACTTTAAATATATCTAAATGCACATATAAATATGTGGTTTGAGTAAAATTAGGAGAACTGGCTTTTGGGGAAGGAGCACAGTTCAGTAAGTAGGATTTGCTGGGCATGGATTCTACCATTTGCCATAGCCAGCTGTGTGGATTGCATAAGGTATTTAGGCTATGATTTGAATCTTAGACTAAATTCAGGTGTGCCAAATACCCAAACAAGAAACATGCTCAAGCATGAAGCGTTTTTTCTCCTTCTGTGGCAATGTCATATAAATGAAGGTGATGTCTGTAGGAGCCTTGCAAGGATCAGTGTGAGTATTGCCAGCCTTGGCGTGTGCTGGATTATGATTTTTTTAGTTGAATCTCATTCTCATTTCGAGGTCTCTGGAATGTGTTTGTGGAAGGGAATAGCTACTTTTTGGGGGATATTTGCTGCTAGACAGCTTGGGGTTGTGTTTTACTTCTCTCCCAAAGGCAGTGAGTATTTGCTAGGTGTTCATGGGTTGAATACCACTGATGAACACCTGTGTGCTGGGTGCACATCTGCAGAATGGTACCGAGCTTCATCAGCTCGGTATCAGATCTCAGCTCAGGTTCATGCCCGGGCTGTGATCCATGTGATCTAAAGGAACAATTTTTGTGGGAGTGTTGGGGCTTCCTGAGGAGCTGAGTTACTTGAAACACTCCTGTACCTGCTCATACTTCACGTGGAGTCCCTAACCTCAGACTGTGTGTTGCTGGAGCATTGACATCTTTGGGAAGAGCTGAGAAGTCACTGCATTTCTTAACTGTTCAGGAATCTTGTCCTGATTTGTGTGCAGGGTGCTTTAATTGGGTTGCTCTTGGTTGACTAACACAGCATTTCTCTAAAGTGTTAAGCAAGGACTCAGTTTTTTCTGAGCAAAATGCAAGGGCTGCTGTAATGTAATTATTTTGGAGCTGTGCAGGTTGATGTACAGCCCTTCCTGGTCTCCCCTATGGAGTAGCAGTCTTTAAACCAGTTGTTTGTTCAGAACTAATGTCATAATTTTCAAATGGTTGTGATTTTTCCCTTCTGTTGGTGTAGGTATGATTAACATATCTGTATCACTGTTAGTTGTATAAACATGTAAATAAGTTTTTAGGGGGGAAATCAAAATGTTTTTGATGTAATTTAATTCCCATTTATAGACAGGTGGAATTAAAATCTGATCTCTGGGTTTGCAGATGTACAATGTATTCAAAGAGATGCCTGAATCTCTGAAGCTGAGATTTGCTGAATTGCTTTTGAGTGTTCAATCTTCCACTAATTTCAACAATAATTGACCCAAAATCTGAATCCAGATCTGAACCAGAGGCAGCATTTATATGTTTTTAGTTAAATCTTACGTAACTCTGTTGACACAGATCCTGAAGTAGCACACTTACAGCATTTAGCTCAAAAATGACTGAAAATATTTTTAAAATGAAATAGAAGTTTGTGGTCAATAATTTAAGGCTTCTTACAAGTGTGTGGACTCGATGATTGATGTACAGTAATCTCAGGCTTGAGTTTTCTGCTTTCAGGGGGAAAGAGCCTATCAAGACCTGTCAAGGAACTGAAAAGTTTGAGCAGTTTTTTTTTTCTCTCAGATCACCATTGAAAAAAAAAAGAGACATTATAAAGCATTTCTAAGCCTACATGGGAAGCAGGAAACTAGTATATAGTCATAGTAGCTATACAAGCTGTGGCCATTTTGGACTGGGAGACTTGGAGATGCTAAGACACACTGTAGTAAATCCCTGTCGCTGCAGCAGAGCACGACCTTCCTACATTTTAGAGGTATAACCACATGGCTGTGTCTGGGTTGCTCAAGCAGCTTGGACAATGAGCCATCTTTTTACCTGATCAGGATTGCAACTGTACCTGAAACTTCACAGCTGATAAGTCTCTCTAGATGATAAGTCTCTCTCAAATGTATACAAAAAGTCCATTGCAGTCTGCTTCTCTGAGCGTTTCTTTTCTTCCCTCATCCTTTGCAGCAATCAAAGAGAAATATGTGGACTGGACGGAGTTTCTTATCCATGATCTGACTGGCGCCCGGACTGCACCTGCAAATTTACTGGAAGGCGTATGTATTAGATTGCAGTTTCTCTCTGGTACTGTCTTGTGGTGTGCATGCTGCACCAGTGCTTGTGCTCCCCGTGTGTAGGGCTGTGCGCTTGCAGTATCTGTGTGTCCAACAGCTGTGCAAAAGTTAGGAGTGACGTTGCCTTGATTCTGCTGGCTCTGCTTCTGACTGAGTCGTGGGGTATTTTATTTTATTTATTTCAGGTTGAAAGGTGCTTAGAAATTTGGATATTCATATACCAAGAGGTGAAGGAGAATGCCCACAGATTGGAGATGGGTGTTGGCAGGTTGATGGAGAGCATTGTCAGATTTATGTGTATATAGAATTATATTTATATTCCAAGGCTGGAACAGAGTTCCAGTATCATCCAGTCCAACCGTCCATGTAGGGATAGCTCCCTGAAGGACAGCAGTCAGGTTTAGCAGGGAAGTTGAGTGTGGTGGGCTCGCTCATTGATGACTGGATGAGAAGAAGGAGCTGTTGTGTCAGATGCATCCATATAGCAAAGAAGCTGGTTTGTGCAGCACGTTTGCAAGGAGACTTGCTCCTGGGACATGCTTGAGATCTTAGTATTTCACAGCTTCAGCTTCAGATGGGGGGAGCACGGCTCATCCTACTTTCCGTTGGGAAGGCAGCCATCTCTGGTGCATGCCAGTGCTATTAGGAACTTCTCTGTTCCCATCCAAGGTCAGGTTGGAGAGGGCTTTTTATAACCTGATTGAGCTGTAGGTGCTCCTGCAGTTGGACCTCCCTGCAGAGAGTTGGACTAGATGGCCCTTAAGAGTCCCTTCCAACTCAATTCTGTGATTCTAGAGGCAGCAAAAATAGGAGGTCCCAGGCAGAAATGCAGAGAGAAGTCACTGCCTTGACTTGAAACAGTTTCTCACCCTCTTCTGGTGTTGTATGTGATATATGTGCTTAGTGCTGTCTGTGTCATGCAATGTATGTTACCCCCCTGTCGACAGATTTGCTGTTTGTGAGTGCTGCAGATTGTTCTTATACTGTTAAATCAATATGCAGTGATAAATTTTTTTTAACATGCTAGCTATGCATATAAAGAGCTCTTGAATTATGGTAAATGTTAATATTTCAAGCAAGCCAATTATTAATCTTAGCCATTGAGTTGTCAGGAGTAAGCGACAGCCCTTTGGCTTAGAATTTAGCACACAAATCTGGGAAGCGATATTCGCATTTTTGTGGCCAGGGTTTTGTAGTAATAAGGTAAATCATTACACCACCGTTTGATGTTAAAGAATGTCTTGTTGGAATGAAGCAGTGTGCGAGAGAAAAAAAAAAAGAAAAAAGAATTTAAGTAGATTTCTATTATGTCATTACATTTTAAGAGTGCATTTTTCCATGAAATAATATTGAAGAGGTTGTGCAGGTGTAGAGGAGTTGCTTATAATGGTGGATATTATTTTGAGAAATATCTGATAATCATAGGTCTGGTTAAAAGTGTTCATGTGATAAGGTTTTAGTCAATTTAATTTTTTTTTTTTTTTTCTTACCAAATTCTCATTTTGATGCCTGTATTTTTGGCTTAAAGGAGGTGTAGTCAAATTTGGGTATGCTTCAAAATTTGAATATTTTCATAAGTCAATACGAGAGAGCTTTTTTATAAAGGAAAATAAGGCTTATTCCTCCTTTTATTTTTTTTCTAGCCACCCATAGAAGGAACTGACCTGGGCTGACACTGATTTGCAGAATTAATATTAAAAAAATAGAGAAAAATGTGAAAGGCACATATTGTTGAATTACAAAGAAGTGGAACAATCACACGAGAAGAAAGATTGTGCTTTTTTTTTTTTTTCATATATTTTGCCTGTGCTTAACATTTCCTTTGAGGAGCAATGCTTGCAACTTTTGGAGTAATTGTGAGTGCTGTTCTTAAAATTCTAGAAGTGAGAAATTCAGTAAGAATTGGAACTTGCTTTAAAAAAAAATGGAAAGAAAAATAAAAAGCTCTAACCCTCACATTTGCAAGAAAAAGCCTGACAACACAGAGTTGCTCACAATCACAAAAGAAAATCACTGAGCCCCAGAGGTATTGTTCTGAAAAATACCACACATTTGTTTTAATGCCTGTGGTTGGCAACTTCGAAGGTGTAAAGTTAAACACATACTAACGGTTGCAAAATCACCATAGACATTTCCATCCATGACAGTGGGAATCATTTGCTCTACATTCTGGTAGGAGCAAGGCAAATTGTTTTGATGGGAAAGATCAGTGCCCAGAAGGCAATTTCAGTGTCATGCCCAAAGTAGTTACCTTTTAGATAAACAGCAGGGTCTGATCCTGTGGTCGGTTCCTATCAGCTGCTATCAATGAGAATTTGGTTTGAAATCTTTCAGTGTAACTGAGCTCTGCATTGTTCAGGAGCTTCCCAAGTGGATATGCCTTAAGGGCTGTTTCACCTCTGACTATTCTTTTGTTGTTGTTGTTGTTGATGATGTCGGTTTAGAAATTAGCACAACTGTTGTTTTCTGTTTTACTTCTGAATTTGCACTTGGAAGACATTGGGTAAAATAGAAGAAGAACAGACTGTTTGCTGATCGCTTGGATGATGGTGTGAAAAACAAAAATAATCTTCTGCTGTCATCTGTTTCCTTGAGAAGTCTTCAAATAAAGTTTAAAATAAGGAGTTTTGCTTCTATTCAAACAGCCTCTGCGAGGAAAAAACCCTGTAGACCTCATTACAGTTGATTCCTTAATAGAGCTGCAGGATTCCCAGAATCCCTTTCAGTACTGGATAGTTAGTGTGGTTGAAAATGTTGGAGGAAGATTACGCCTTCGCTATGTGGGATTGGAGGAGACTGAATCCTATGACCAGTGGTTGTTTTACTTGGATTGCAGACTTCGACCAGTCGGTTGGTGTCAAGAGAATAAATACAGAATGGACCCACCTGCAGGTAAAAAAAACAAAACAAAACAAAAAACCAAACAACCTTGTAAAAGTGCTGTTCTCTTTTGTGATATTTTTTATGATCGTGGTATGTTTTAAGATTCTTGTGCAACCCATTTCTTTTCCAGCATTCACATTGCTTGGTCAGCAGGTTTTAACTGGAACACAAATTGTGAGCAAGAGCCGTCTGATTTGGGCTCAAAGTAGTGGGTCAGGTAAACTGTATTAAATGTATTTAATAAAACGAGCTTGGTGTTGCTCTCTCCTGCAAGGAAATTGTGTGCAGTAAGAGTAGCTTTGTGTATCAAGAAGCAGAGCTGATAGAGGTGGTCCAAGGATGTGCCTACTTGCCCATCCCCTTACAGTAGTGTTTTGGTGTCCAGGTCTTCTTGGTCTTTCTCTAGGCATCCTAGTGTAGGACTCACTAGAATTCTATTTACTGTTCTCCAAATAAAAATTTAGGTGACATCTCTCAGCATATTTTATGCTCCGTTTGCTCTCCCTTCACCCAAGCACCTCTTGCCAGTCTATTTTCTATGGCCATGCTCTTGGATAGCAGTGTACTTCCATGGAATTTCTTGGCTGGAGAAAGTGTTCTGGGATACTTATGGTCCTTTCATTGTAGGTCTTTCTCATCCAGATGTAACTTGGCTGTTCAGGATCTAAGTAAGACCTGTCTTGTGTGTAACCAACTCAGAAGATGGCACAGCAGGCCTACACCACATTTTCCTGTGTAGGTGGGCAGATTGTCCAGGTCTGTGCTTCATTCTTCTTGTGCCATAGATGAAGTTTTTCCATGGGAATTAACGACGGAAGAAAGATGGCTCTCCTTTGGATGAATGTTCCTGAGGTGACTTTTATCCCTTGAACCTTATTTAGAGAAGTTACTATGATATGTGCTGTTTTACAAATCTGCACGGGTCTTGGGTGTAACTTGGGGTCTTGAATGCTTTTTGGAAGTGTGTGTTTTCCTTCTCAGAGAGGTGGGAATCGATATTCTCCATCACTTCTAAATTAGATGTGGATGCTGGAGGGCATGAATATCACTCACTCAGTTATTTCCCAGAGCATCTGTGTTACACAGAAACACCTTTTCATTGACCATGTCTGAAACCTCTTGGCCTGTATAGGTTTGGTTAATCAATACAGAAGTGGCCTAAACTGCATTTGTACTTCTTTGTCCATTCCATCTTCCTTTTCCTTTTATCTGTTTGTGTTTCCTTCTATACTCTCTTTAATTTTTTTCCTTCCAATTGTCTTATCTTTAAAACTGTTATTGGATTCGATTTGATGAAATTATGTATTTTTCTCTTCCCCTCTCCTAGACTTAACTGCTTTTTAGATTTCTTTCATGTCTTCATTTAGAATCTCTTTCCCCTCCTTGGCATTTCTCTGGCCGTTCCCCTTTTAGTGAGCATTGCTATTATTGAGTTTGGTGATATGTATCTTTGTGCTGACATTGAATTATAAAAAATTACACATCCTAGGATGTTGTCTTGCTGGAGTTTGTTGAGAAAAGACCCTTTGGGTGCGAGTCTTTCCATTTTCTTTTTGAGTCCTGACCTCCTGAAGTCTTACCCCGGCGATCTTTCTTTGACCCATCCTTGCCCTTCTGAGTTCTGCATTCCAGGGAGTAACCAGTCATGGTTATGTCCATGGGATATATGGGAATCTGATACATCTTGAGAGGCAGGAATGCTGGTTGTTCAACTTGTGACATCACAGATAAAATTGGCCATTTGATGCCCACCTAACATCAGCATATTCATTAACTACGGTGGATGAATAATGCTTGTTGTGAGACTTGTATAGCAGGCAGACAGGAAGCAGTAGTGAGTTGTCAGAATGAGGTGCTGGGCAGCGGAGAGCTCTGAAGAAACTTAAGGGTGAAGATAGTAAATGATAGTCTGTCACAGGATGTGATTTCCTGAGGATGCCAGACCAGGAGATTGTGCCAGGGATTTGTCCCTACCTGCTTCCCTCCTTTCTGCTGACTTCTGTTGTAAATGAGATTTAGTTGGGGAAAGATCTTTGGTGTCACCTGTATATACTGTCTTAGGAAAGAGAAAATTTGTGGGTAATATGTTGGGTTTTTTACATGTTAGTTTAGATTCATTTGGCATTGTATGGGCATTGAAATGATGCTTCAGCATCATCTGTTGCTTTTTCTTTATGATCAGTGGAGAGAAGAGGATGTCTAAATCATTCTATCATAGGCCAGATGAAGTGACATCTTCATAAGCCTGTTTTCTTCCACTCAGAGGGTTGAGAGGAATGAACACACAGCTGGTTTCTAACTTTTGAAGCCTGTTGAGAGGACTGCTTGACTGATAAAAGGAGCAACCTTAGACTCTTTATAAAAGCTACTGTGAATATCCTCTGAAGAGATGCTGAGAACTTCCAAACCAGGCTGTGTGCCTAATTGGTATCAAAAGAGGATGTTCAGTTGCACATCTTCTCTGCAGGTTATTACAGTGTTTTACCAACCCCTGACTTGGAAGCTGTTTATGCACCATTAGCTTTATTTCCCAACGTGTCTGGGTTGTGGTTTTGCTATGCTGATCTGCCTCTGGCACCTGGCAAGTTGGCTGTCACACTGCACAGCAGTCTGAGGTTAGTCTTTCAAGATGCAGGACATTCTCCTCTAAAGGAGATCCCATTGTTCTGAAGGTCTACAGCTTCTTGGGTGGAGAGGTCTCTTTCTTGAAGCCAACTGCAACCTTGCACCAACATAAGGTATAAGAATGTGCAGAGAAAGTTCTTAGGAAATGGCATTCCTGCTGTGTTCACAACTGGGAACTTTTCTACAGCTTTATATGTCCTCTGTGGTAAAGAGAGTGTAGCACTTCTTGCTTTTTCACTTGGATCTGAATCCAAGATAAGCCTCCTTGCTACCTCGAATTGGCAGAGGCAGCTTGACACAGAGCCACGGGTAGTCTTTGCCTCAACTGTTGATGCAGGAAGAGGTAGTCTCATTTTATGTTACTTTCTATTAAAAGACAAATTGGCAATGATTTTAATTCCTCACTCCTTGTTAACCTAAATACAGATTGACACAGTACACTTTGTTCAATTACCTGCAACACTATCACTTAAACAAAATACTTTATGCTCTTTTAACCATGCGATTTAGTGTCCATAAACTTGCCAGCATAAGCTAACTGCCACTGCCTGATGAAATGTCCATGTAATACTGCTTGCTGGTTATTGAAACAATTGAGGTTGTATTAATCTTTCAAGGCTTGTTGGCACCAAAGAAGTTGCTGCTTGTTTTCACTGCTGTTGTGCAGAGTTACTCCCAAAGGCCACATTAGAATTGCAGAGTCACAAAATCATTAAGGTTGGAAAAGACCACTAAGATCATCTAGTCCAACCATCCCTCCCTCAGTGGAGGTATCTCGGTCCCTCAGTGCTATATCTGCCCTTTTCTTGAACACATTCAGGGATGGTAACTCCCCAGGCAGCCTGTTCCAGTGCCTCACCACTTTTTCTGAGCAGAACTTTTTCCAAATATCCAACCTAAACTTCCCCTGACACAACTTGAGGCCATTCCCTCTCATCCTACAACTGGTTATCTGGGAGCCAAGGCCAATCCCCACCTCACCGCAGCCTCCTTTCAGACAGTTGTAGAGGGTGATAAGGTCTCCCCTGTGCTTCCTCTTCTCCAGACTGAACAATCCCAGTTCCCTCAGCTGCTCACTGTAAGATTGATGCTCCAGACCTTTCACAGCATTGTTGCCCTTCTTTCTCTCCCATGTTCCACTGCCATTATGATGGCAAATGAAGTTCTATTTTCATCCTGCTCTGTTTGGCAAGCGTCTGTGTGGGTTTTCTGAAACTCAGAATTTATACAGGTAGAAGCAACAGGTTGGGGTGAAATCATGACTTATTGACTATTTCTGACTTTTTTTTCTTTTTTGCATCATTTCAGCCAAAAAGGGAGAAACAAAGTGAATCATTTCCCTTCCTATATTTCAGCCATTCAAGACTCCTGCAAGTGGGTGAGCTATTGGAGCAGGCTGCCCAGTGAGGTGGTAGAGTCACCATCCCTGGAGGTTTTCGAGAAAAGAGCAGATGTGGCACTGAGTGGCATGGTCTAAAGTGGTCATGGACATGGGTTAATGGTTGGACTAGATGATCTTTGTGGTCTTTCCAACCTCAGCAATTCTGTGATTCTAAGTAAGGGGAAAACTGGTGCAGTAGGCACTATGAAATAGTGAACAGTTTGACGAACAGCTCCTTTCTTAACTCTTGTGACCACCACGCATGCTGTAAACAAAGACTTGAAATGTATGTTCCCATTAATAACCAGACAGTTGAGGAATTCACACTACAGCCCTGAAAGGTTAACCTTTCCCTTTAAGTGTGTTTAAATTCACGTGCATACCCGTGATGTCTGTCTGAAGTAGCAAAGCTTGATATAGTGGAAGTATAAATACATCCTCTTCCAGTGAGTGATTCTGCAAATCCTGTTTTGATAAGGTCTTAAATCTATTGAAATCAGAGCATAAAATTCTCTTGTACTGTCAGTGCTAGGTGACAGTGCCTGCCAATTCCTTTTTTTATATATGTTTCTTTTATTTCCTCCTTCAGAATTGTAAGATACCACAGTAAATCTTTGGTAGCTTGCAAATATATATGGTTCCTAGATGTACAAAATTTAAATGCAAATTAGACCAACTTGAACTGTGGTGGAAGTGAGTGAAGCCCCGCTGACAAAAGCAAATCTTTGCACTGCTCAGTCTTTATCAAAGTTCGAGTTTATTGTTAAGTAAATGTTCATTTCCATTTCAGTAATTGTTACTTGTCTCTCTACTTATCTTGTCTCTTGGAGACCTTGATATGAATGCTCTGCAGTAACTTGTTATGTATGGGATAGCAATATATTTTCCAGGACAGAAGTAAATCCAATATAATGTTCTTTGTCATAGCATTGTTTCCTATGTTTTTTTTTTCCCTTTGGTGATTCATAGGCATTTTACTGCTCTGAACTGTAAACGACTTGCTAATACAATGATTTAATAATATTAAACCAATTTAAGGAAACCCATTACCTAGAAGTGTAATGATTGCAATTCTTTAGTGTAAGTGTGAATTGATGTGATGCTCAGTCATGTACCAAAGATAGGTTTGTGTAGATACCAGCTGAAATGTTCTTTTCTACACCTTCCCTCCTGCAAAAACTTCTGCAGTAGTGAATTTTCAATGAACAGAAGAATTGTTAAGGGTATTTCTGTTTTTGTTCAAATACAAATAATGTTAACCCGAGGCTTCTCAAACTGGAAAATATTTGGTGTTTTTGTTATTTTCAAATAATGAGATAATATAGTTCTTTTTTCTTCAACAGAAAATGGAATGTGTGTGTTTTCTTGGGTTTTACTCTAGGATATAGAACACATTTCTTCCCTAAATGTGCCTCTGCTCCTTGCTTTTGTTGAATTTATCCACACTGTACAGCTTGGGATATACATGCTGCTGATTACAATTGAACCTTCCATTTTTATGACACAGTAACTTAAGACTTTCAGAAATCTTCAATTCCCAAACATTTACTTCTTGGGCTTGTATTTTTTTTAAATTGATTTTTGTGTTTTGTTGTTGTTGTTGTTGTTGTTATGATTGCTTTAGATATCTATTCTCTGAAGACGATATCTGAGTGGAAATGCGCCCTGGAAAAATCCCTAAATGATGCAGCAAATTTTCCTCTTCCAATGGAAGTATTCAAGGTAAAAAGTGTACATTTTCCTTCAGTTATTTGATAGAGTAAATTCTCAGCTACAAAGCACTATTTTTCATCATAATCACCACCACCATTAGCTATGCATTTTTGCCAGTAATGAACAGCAGCCTGCATGCCACGTTCAGAAAAACTTGCACCAATGGAGATGTCCCACTGTTTCACAGTGTTTCGTCACCCACCACCTCACTATGCACGCATCCACTGTTTGGTCTCCATAGATATTCAGCAAGGGTTGATGAATGTCAGTGGGTGCAGTTTTTTCTGCGTAGAGGAGTTCGGTTCTACCCCTTTACTTCATGTGCAGTTCCATGTCAGATGCCATTTTGTCAGACAGCCCCTCTGCTTCCATCTGTCACATGAAAACAAGCTGTAACGGAGTTCTGGTTGGAAAGTTGAACCTCTGCTGCCATACTGCCAACATCCACTTCTGTTGTAATGGGCCAACTTAATAAAATAGGAGGCATTACTTTCAGAGCAGCCCATGTACATTGCTATCAAAGGTCATAAGTGGGATGTTTGTATAAAATGCAGTTTTGTGTGAACTCTGCTCTCAGACCTGATTTCTTGCTGTTACTGTTTTATAGATGATGTAGGGGTATGACCAACACTGATTTCTCCAACATCAGCATTTCTCCAACACCATTTCTAACATCTTTAATTATGCAGACCTGAGTTCTCACAGCCTGTGACAGCACAGTGCTGTGATTATGAGAGTACTTGTAAACTCAGCTTTCTGTGAGCCCTGTGCTCAAATTTTCATCTCATTCTGAGCTGGTCCTCCTCCAGGGACCTGTAGTGGAAGTAGGAGATAATTTTCTCCTGTGTCATTTTTTCTTCACTCAATCTGATTTTTAATAGTTAGAGATGTGCTTCAGCCCTGAGGCACCAGCTTTAATATCCCATCCAAATCCACACTGCTGTTCATCGTGGCTGCTCCAGATCATAATCCAGATTTCTAGCTGTGCCAGCCTTTTTAATGTTGCAGCCTTGCAGTGGTGTGCTGTAGCAGTGTGGGGGGATGAGTTGTAGCATAGTGCTGCACCACTGTCTCCAGTGGAGTGGACCAGGTCATAGAACAATGGAATCATTAAGGATGGAAAAGACCACTAACATTATCAAGTCCAACCATCAAACCATTTTCATCATGTCCACTAACCATGTCCCTCAGTGCCACATCTGCTTTTTTCTTGGACATCTCCAGGGCTGGTGACTCCACCACCTCCCTGGGCGGCCTGTGCCCATGCTTCACTATTCCTAATGAGAAGAAATTTTTGCTAATATCCAACCTGAAATCCATCTGATAACCACCAGATCCTTCTAGTCAACCACAGTGGTTACCACTGCTCCTGGCTCATCCAGTGTGGACACCTAGGTTCCTTCCCATTAGCAGCATGATATTGAGGCACCCCAAAACACCCATGTGACTGGGAGAAGGCACCCAGCATGCCCCATTCTGGCTCATCACAGGGACCTGGTGCCACCTAGTGAAAGCCCTGCTAGGCTGAGAGAAATATAGAAAATGTATGCATTGGCTTTTTTCACAGACAAGGGTTTGAGATGTCCCATAAAATCATAGAATTGCCCGGGTTGGAAAAGACCTCAAAGATCATTGAGTCCAACCAAAACCTAACCATACTGCCCTAACTCTAACAACCCTCCACTAAATCATGTCCCTGAGCATTGCATCCAAGCGGTTTTTAACACATCCAGGGATGGTGACTCAACCACTTCCCTGGGGAACCTGTTCCAGTGCTTAACAACCCTTTCAGTAAGAAGTGTTTCCTGATATCCAACCTAAACTTACGCTGGCACAACTTGAGTCCATTTCCCCTCATCCTGTCACCTTAAAAAATAAAATCTCGTGTTGTTGCAGGAGTGGTTTTGATTCTCAGCCACCTTTTTTTGTACAGTGCTTCAGTCCAGAAGCTATTAAACTTTGCAGTTTCAAGATGAAGAGCATATTGTATGGGGCAGGGATTAAACTGGGAAAGCCTAACGTGTAAATTTTATTCCTGCCTATATGAAAGAGCAAAGAATCTTTCTGATGAGGCTCATAAAGCATCCTTTTTTTTTTTTCTTTAGTTTATAAGTAACAGCTGTTTTGCAGCCTTTTCTCAGCATGCTAGACTTATACCCACTTATTTTAATTATTGCATGACGGTCATAAATTTAAACTCAGCAAGTCCCAGTGGCCACACTGTGTGGTTAGAGCTTGCAAGGGTGTTCCTCTTAGACAATGCAGTGCCTTGGAATGCTTGAATGGCCCAAAAGGAGAAATTTTGGGGGCCATACATGACAAAAAGGCAGGATTAGGGCAATACAGCTTCTTTATTTGAACTGTGGAAGCCAAGCACAAGGATTCAGTGTCAGTGTCTGGTGGTGTTTGGGTCCCTGCCTGGTGATGAGGAGGCTGGAGGCTAAATGAATGGATGCCCTTTTTTTCTCTGCCTTTAGAAGGACTCAACCCCATCTTCTACCATTTGATCGAGGGGTAAAATACAAGAGATTGTCTGTGATTCTGAGCATGCCTTCCTCTAATAGTGATTTAAATGTAAGTTAAGTAAAGACTTTCTGTATGAGAATATAGTTGTCTGATCTTTCAAGGCAAGCCAAAATTCACTCTTGGGAACTTCAGTAAGAATCCCAGAAGAGCCCAGCAAAAACTGTTGAATCCAAAGGCTTTTTTTTTCTTCCTAGTACCAGCACAGAAATAATGTCTCTACAGCGTGCCAGGGGACTTGGTGCTGCTGTAATTGTTATGTCTTAGATGAGGTATAAAACACAGAGTTTGGCAGCTTACAACTGTTAAGATCTTGGTCTTCTGGAAAGCTGGAAATGTTTACTTTGGCAAACATGATAAACTGCCCAGTTGATAAACTGAGCAATTGATTTCTACATTTCCCTATAGAAATCCATACAGGTATGAACACTCCCTAGAGTGAACACACACATGTTTGTTTGGCTTGATTGCAGATTAAATTGCTGTTGTTGTTTGAGATGTGCATGGTGGTGGGCCGTGTCAGGAATGCAGTGTCAAACTGGTCCCAGGTGGCAGTGCTGGAAAGTCAGGTCTGCATTTGTAGAATCATAGAATTGTTAAGGTTGGAAAAGACCACCAGGGTCCTGTAGTCTAACCATAACCATCTGTAGTGGGAAAAGTGGCTTCTGTTATGAATTTATGAGCCCAACATTACAGTTGGTGGTGGAGCAATTTGGTTTTGGTGACAAAGGGTTGGGTTCTGCCTGGTAACTCATACGCCATGAATTTGAGCCTGTATTATCACTGCTCAGCAGCATAGCAGAACAGAACTTTTGTGTAGTGGTCTTCAGCAGGAAAACACTAAAATGTCTTGCAAAAACACAGCCCTGATGGTAGAATGGATTGGGTTGGAAGGGACTTCAGAGATCATCTAGTTCCAACCCCCTGTTGATGCAGGCAGGATTGCTGACCACTGAATCAGGCACTATATCAGATTGTCCAGCACCCCATCCATCCTGCCCGAATTATTCCCCTCTTTTGCATCCAAGGAATCAGAATTGTTAAGGTTGGTTAAATACGACTAAGATCATCTCGTCCAACTGTCAGCCCATCACCACCATGCCCACTAGATCATGGCACCATTAATGAGGCCTTAGGAGCCGGTTACAAAAATCAGAGAGAAGGATGAGAGGAAGATCTTCCTTTTTTTTTCTTTTTTTCTGGTGCTGTTTTACACTTGGCCATATGTTGAAAGCATTTGTAAAACACTTTAGGATCCTTTGAGAAGGAACGTGATATTCAACTGCTAGAAAATGTCACTGTTATATAGCTACTAAACATAGTGTTTTGCAAACTACACCTCCTGGAGAAAGTTTTTCTTTACAAAGCTTTTTGCAACACATCCACTATATTGTCATTCTGTTCTTCTTAGAAAACAAATTGATTCTCAAAAAAAAAAAAAAAAAAAAAATGCAGACTGTTTTTTCAAGTATGTTTAAATAGTTTGGGAGCTTAAATCCTTCCAGAAAGCCACAAGGAAACCCAAGGAAACCTGTCCTTTACAGTTTCTGCTCTGATTTTGAGATGCAACATTTGGCTGAATGCCTGCAATAAACACTGGCTCAGAGCACGCCTAAGAAAAATGACCAAATCTTTGGGTATAAATAAAGGTGGCTGGATTGTTACTAAGGCCAGCTTTAAAGCTGTGTAACATCAGTGGTTCAGCAGTGCCATGCTGATGCTTTCTGAGAGGCAGCCTGGCATCGGGAAACCAAACTTAAGACACAGAACCTTTTAGCCCAAATATTTATTTCCCCCTGAACACACGTTTGTAATTATTCTCTCTAGCTGAGGAACAACTGTTTCTCTTCTCTGGAACCAGCCCAGTGAGATCCTATTTCTAGATCGTAGATCATAGAATCATTCAGGTTAGAAAATACCTTCAAGATCATCAGGTCCAACCATTAACCTGACCAAGTCTCATCACTAGACCATAGCCATTAGTGATGTATCACACATCCCTTAAATACCTCTAGAGATGGGTTACCATCACCTCCCCTGGCAGACAGTGCCTAACAACCCTCTCTGTAATGAGATTCTTAACTGATATCTGAACTAAATCTCCCCTGGTACAACTTGTGACTCGACTAATTTGGAGTATTTGGGTGTTTCCTGTGATTTGTAATAATACCATTAATTGATGCTAAGATAAAAGGGATGGAAGGAATCTCCTATGGAGAATGATGAAGGGACCATCCATCAATGAGTTCAGAGCTGCCTCCTAAAATTCAGTACTGGGTGCTTTTTTGTTCCACAGTCAAAAATACAATAAACAAATATTACAATAAATATTAAAAAGAACTTCTTCCTCTCCCAGATGTGTTTTTTTTTTTTTTTTCCATCAGCTGAAATGCGCTTTTAAAATATGAGATTAAATTGAAGTATTTATTTATGATTGTAACTTATTTTTTGAAGAAAAAGATAACATCTCTCAGAAGTTAATGCAT